TGTGTGTGTGTGTGTGTGTGTGTGTGTGTGTGTGTCTTCTCCGGCCTTCAACTGTGGTAATTGCCATCATCCTCTATCGCTGACTCCCACTTAACATTATTAAACGTGTTCGGCTCTGCCTCTTCATCCTCACTTCAAAGCCCGACAGTAAGAAGTTCACACACACCCCCCCAATTAAAGTCAATCTGTGTGTTTGTGTGTTTGTGTTGTAGAAACACTCTGATCGTGTGATATGGAAAACAATCGCTGAAATGAAGCGTGCACACACAAACACGTTCTCAAGTCGTGCATTAACATAAACATCATTAACACAGACACCATTTTTTGTAGCAACAGACAACAAGGATTTCCTTTAGTTTAACATGTCTGTAATTTGAATTCTTTGACTGACTCATTTGTTCTCTCTGCGTTATCACAGTTTGCAGGGCATCGTCCAAATCGGAGAAAATAGAAAAAACTTCGTCATTGACAGTCTGAACACGCAACAGTGTCCCTCACAGCTCGACCTACTTCCTCGCCTCCCAATACACGATTCGGAAGTGGGAAGCACCGCTCAAGTTAAACTTCTGCACGGCACCGGCAGCAGCAGCGGCAGCATTACTCCTCCGACTCCAGCTTTAACTGGCATTTTTAATTTGTCACTAAAACCTGCGAAACGCCCGCATGACACGGACAACGTGTACAACTCATCTCTGTCCTGAGGAAACAGATGTCAGCTGCTTAAATGAGTGGAGTCCTGTTGCTTTCATTTCCATGATAATGAAGCCCTCTGGAGGTCCGAGTTCCACAGTCTCATAATCCACAGGACACCTCAACTCAGAACGTGTCCTAACTCCCACAGTACATGCTGCATACATACATGATGAGTTCTTTCCTGTGAGTTTTCCACATCACAGATACAGAAGAGTTATTTTGTCGAAGTAAAACTACTTCTTATGAATTCCTCCGTGGTGTTGTCCATTAATAACCGGAGACACTGTCACACCCACCGGGTTTGGTCCGGACCCTCCGACTTTTCAGTTTAGTCTGAACCAAAATATTTGTTGTGGAAGGTGTCCGACCAAGAGAGGAGATCTGGGTCCAGATCAAACTGAACCATGGTTCGGGTTCCGGAGAAATGGGCTGAATAAAACAGAAGTCGGTCATAAAATGAAATTTGTCTGAAGCATTTAAGACCTTGTAAAAGTTAAAAATCCTCTTCCTGGAAGCTGCACGTGCTCTGAGATTCCCAGATTATTTGAACGTGATGTTTTTATCAGTAAACAACTCCTGCTTCGCCTTTTGTTTGTGGTTTCCTGAACATTGATCAGCCTGTAATTGAACTTTTGAATTAGCTGTGTGGATAAAGTGAAAGCAGCAGCAGCAGCAGCAGCAGCAGCAGCTCATTTGTTCTACAGCCTCGTGATCGTGTCTAGAATGACCTTTAACTCTGAACTGTGTCTGTGCAGAGAAAACAACGGTGACTGGAGAGAATTGCTGCAGTTATTGGATGTACTGTCCTCTCCAATCAGAGTGAAACTAAAATATTCGGAGAGGTGTTGCAGGTCTTTTTTAATCACTTCCTCCTGCTCTTCTTTTTACGCTTAACAGGCGTTTCAATTTGACTTTCTTTCCCTTTCTCATGCAAAGCAGCCGTCCGCTTTATTATTGATGACCGGAGCCCTCGTCTGGATTAAAGCTCACAGGGTCATAATACTGTGTTATCACTGATGCTCTTGCCTAAAGAGATTGGATTTCCTGGGACTGTAATTGCTTCAGTTTGTGCGTTTGTATTTTATTTATTTTTCTACCAGGCTTCAGCGCTCCGCTGCTGCAGCTGCTGCTATAAAACTCTCTCACTATTGAATGTAAATGAAGACGAAGATGATTCAGTCCTTGTTTTGCTCCTCTCTGCCCACTCATTTCTTTCCACTGCCTCTGGGAATTGAGTCTGTTTGTGTGTGTTTTGTGTGTGAGCCTCTGTTTTAGTGCGTGTTTAGGTATGTGAGCGTGACCTTGTTTTGTGCGACCACGTTCTCTGGGTAGATAGGGGTGTGGTGACTGCACACACAAACAAACACACACTTAAGAGTACACAGAATAAGACGAAGGTGATCAGTCCCTTGGATTCAGGGCCGTGAATAAAACTACATTAACTGTGGACAAGACCAAATAAAGATGGACAACTCTGCCATTGAGGCTGAATTTCGCCCCTGCCCGATTTCAAATCAGTCTCAGGTGTCAATCGTGATGTCTCACCCCATTTTCAAGAGCTATTCCTCAAATCACCAATCACTATCTTTGTAAACAATTTAATTCACAGTTTGGTTTGTTTCATGTCCAATGTGCTCGACAAAGCACACATCACAGACTTTTTTGCCTGTTGGCACCTTACAGAACATTTATTGTGACTCTGACCAAATTCACACCCTGAAGGCAAATGTGGTTAGTCTCTTGCATTCAGGGCTTATTTCTTGTGACACTGGGTCAGTTCTGCCTCTCCCAGTTTGTCTCCATCTTTTCACCTCACACACACACACACGCACAAAGCTGTGTTAAGAGAAAAAGGCTTCACTGTTTTCATTTCGCATCAAATTTGTCACTAACAAAACACCTTGAATCTTAAAAAGGAGTCAGTTTGATTTGATTTTTCACAGATTGATTTTTTTTTTACCTGGCAGCAAACGTTTCTCTATTTTCCTGGCACAGGATTTATTTGCACTTGAATATTGACTTCTTTCCTCCAGTTTCACCAACTAGATGGTGTCATATAGTGCTGGAGGTTTCCTCTGCAGCAGTGAAGCAACACACTGCAGTGTTGTGAGACCACATGCTGCAGTCATGCTGTTTTGTGTATGTGTGTGTGTGTGTGCTGCCTCAGCTTGAGGCTCCTCAGACCTGACTAAGGTTGTTAAGGAATAACCCCCCCACTCAGCCGAGTGTTTTCATTTTCATAAACTGTCACGACGACGACAGCAGCAGCTACACACACACACACTCTTTCATATTCATTCACCCACGACCCGGTGGAATAGATGTTCAACTTGATTTAAAATCACATTTGCCATATTTAGTATGTTAATCCCTGAAGGTTATATATATTAAATGAGATCATGCATTTCCCCGGCACTGTATCCGTAGATTCCAGATGTGATGGATTTAATTAGTTTTATATAGATCCAGTGGTAAAGTGTTAACTTAATGTCTGATAAAGCTTAAAGCTGTAAAAAGAATACAAAGGATTAATTTCATGACTGTTTCAGAATCAATATAATAAAATATATTATTACGCCTGAAAATGTATTAAACATGACCATTAAAGGTCAAGGGAACGGTTCACCTCTCGTGCATGTAGTTTTACAAAATACATATTTTAAATGCAAATCAGCTGCTACCAGAGAAAACAATGTCTGCAGCACTTAAGATGAGATAAGATAAACTAAAGCTTTGTTAGTCCCACTTTGGGGAAGTTTACCGTCTTACAACCGCATAAAGGAAATAGTGTAATGGACTCTAGGGACACTTTGTGACCTCCGCCTTGTTTTTATTTACAGAATACAAATCCTGAAGTTCTGGAATACTCCAGTAACAAGCACATAGTACACAGCAAGTACACCCATGATGCATCTGGTCATCTACGCGAACGTGTGACTAAACAGCAAATATATCTCCGGCCTTAGTTTTAAAGCAAATACATATTTTAGTTGTTGGGAAAACAGAGTGTTGGTATTTGATGAGGAAATAGAATCAACCTGAGTGGAGGGATCAATATCAGGAAACATTAACATTAATACATTCGTCCTGCAGCTTTAGACACCAGCGTGCACAAAAAACAAAGATACCACACAAAATACTTTACATGGCTGGATTTGTTTTCAGGTGTTTATGTGCGAGGAGGTGAGAGCTGATCATTTATTGACGGGAGGAGGGTGCGGGTATTGATTTTGTGACCTCGTTTAGAGGCGACTGTGGCTCAGGAGGACAGAGCAGGTCGGCCACTAATCAGAAGGTGTGATCCCGAGCTCCTCCGGTGTCCTTGGGCGAGATATTTAACCAGACTGTCGGAGTGGGTGTGTGTGGATCGAGTGAAAAGAGCTTTGAGAGAACGATCAGACAAAACAAGTGCTGAAGGAAATGGTCAGATGTTTTGTTATGTCCGTTACATCACGTCCGTAAAATATCCTCAAAACTGGGTCCATGGATTTCAGAGTTTGTCTTTCACACATGAAGACGGCGTCCGGGTCACATTTGTTCAAAGCAGGAAAATTGTCCAGCGCAGGACTCCCAGAGACCGGACTCGGACGCAGAGTTTGGAGTGAGCCGACAAAGTTCAGGCTTTATTCTTCAAAACAAGATAATAAATAAACAGAGGGCGACTCGAAGAAGAGGGATGGCTGCAAAATTACAGCTGAAAATACCTTCTATGAGGGAATAAGCAAAAAACAACACTTAACTGAAATCTCCTCCAGAGAAGGAAAAAGCTTTGAAAGGTACAAAATAAATCTCCTCTTAAGAGGGATAAACTATCAACATTTACCAAAATAAAACGCCTACGATGAGGGAAAACACTTGTAATCTATAAACCAAAAATCTTCTCCGAGGAGGGACAAGACCAAAAGATAACTAAACTACATTAACCTAGAGAGCTATGAAAACTATGAGGCAAAAGGCCAACAAAAACACTTAACGAGGCAACAACTGTGAAATACTGACTTTGACGTGACGAAAAAAGGCTGGTGGCACTGGACTAGAGGACAAGACACTGGCAGAGGACAAACGGAGACGCAGACTATAAGCACACATGGAGGTAATGAGAAACAGGTGGACACAATCAGGATCGGGGGAAGACAATCAGACCGAGGCACATGAGGAAGGGCAAGTGACCTGAAACGAGAGGAGAGCTACTTTCCAAAATAAAACAGGAAATCACAATACAAACAAATGTCCAAATGACAAATGTCCGTAACATTCAGGTCAGGGGCGGAGCCTGTTTGGGGGAAAGTGTGCAGACTTGGGTGCACGTCTGAAAACAGCTTCATCGTGGTTTATCTCGCCGTTGCCAAGTCGGTGCTGTTTTTGTAGAAGTGTCTCAGACAACCTGTGGCTGTAATTACACGTGTCAGAAAAAGAAAGAGGGTTTGATCCTGTGAAGCAGAACAGTGTTTCTGCTGCCGAAGCTTGAATTATTAAATGTGCTTTTGTTTAAAGATCAACCTCAAGTTAAAAAGAAAGAGACTTTGAAACGAGGAGCATCGAGAACAAAACTGTCAGACAGATCTCCGTGATGTGACGGGCTCATTGTTAATGTCTCTCCAACGTGTAAAACACAATTCATGCAGTGAAAAACTGTTGGTGAAACAAATACAAATGAGAGAAGAGATTATAGGAATAACATCCTTTAGGTGCACATGTCGCTGGGAAGATGACGTGTAAATCATAAATTGAGTGATGGCTGAATTCCATTTAGCTGCTCCTGGGGTCGTGTGTGTTGTCTCACTGTCTCACTGCCGTGTTTTACCGGGACACACCATCTGTCCCACACGAGGTCTCAGTCCAGTCGTTTGTTCTCATTTGATCTAAATTAGACTGAGCATCTGTACGTGAGAGTCCAGGAAGCTCAGCCACTTGTTGTTCCGACTGTAAATAAAGCGAAATCCTCCATGTTAGCATGTGGGACACAGGCCAAACTGAAAATTCAATATTCCCATTCTATCAAATCTTTCTCAGAGATGGTTTTCTGCCATCGCAGGCAGCTCGTATCACACTCG